AATATACTTTAAAAAAAAAAAAAGTACAGTGTGCAGGAGCTGATTTTTGTTACTTGCATAAGCAAATAAATTAATGGATGTACAGAAAATGTTTTATTTCGTAAACAAAGCTACATAAAGCATACAATATTTACACCATCATTTCGTCAATGTGTTAGATATCACAGAAACTGTGGACTGAAACTTTTAAAATGCATCTTCTTCTTTCTCTCAGTCTCTCTACTTCCTCCCCTCACTCCCTACCACCAACTTCATCGAGTAATTTCCTAGCAGCTATCTGCTTTCCCCCTTCCTCCTCTTTAACTCCCTCTACCTCTATCAGCCTTAGCCTCCATTTCTCTGACACACTTCCTCTTTGCTGTTGATTTTATCTCTTTCCACCTCTCCTTCTCCGCCCACATCTTTTCTTTCCCCTTATTTTCATGTCTCATTTTCACACTTACTTGCCACCCCTCAGTTTCTCTCCCTCTTTCTTTCTCGCAGCCGCCCCATGACTCATTCATCCTCTCCTCTTTGTCTCCTCAGACTCCAGGTTTTTGCCCTGCAGTGGAGGCCGGCTGTTTATTCTCTCTCTCCATCTTGCTTAGCGCTGGCCTGCTGTCAAGCCGGTAGATAACTACGGATAACTCAAGTTTTATTTAAGAAAAGCAGACCCCGCTTCTACTACTATTTCACTTGTGAAATACCAAGAGCTGAGCAGTGAGGAGTTCCTTTCACTCAGCTGATTGTGTAGCGTTGTACACTTCAAACCTGCCTCAAGATCAGCCTCAGTCAGACTTCCATCCAAGAAAATATTAGACAAAGGAGAACAGATTCTTTTGTATATCTATAGCGTTCTTAGTGTATCTTTACAGTGTTTGTGATTATGTAAACGCTTACATGAGCAGAAAGTGCTGAATCAAATCTCCATGCTGCCTCATCTGACCAAACTGACGTGAATTTTAAGTGATGGCAATCATAAATACATTATTCTATCAATATATTTTAGACCACATATCTTGATGTCAATAACGTGACAATATTTTGGAGACGACTGATTTCAGGAGATATTTATGTGCAAGACATTTTAAAGAAACAAAGTGATTGAAAAAATCTGGGCATTAATACATAATTTAACTTCGGTGTCTTTCTGGAGATTTCTGAGGTGCTTGTTTTTGAAGATTCATCGCCTGGCTTTGTGCCGTGGTTTGATGCAGAGTGCAGTGATTTATTTTCATTTTAATGCAAGATGATGACCATCGAGATCAAGGTAAAAAACACGTAAGCGAAAACACAATTCAGATTATCTAGTCCCATTTAACAATATCTCTATAAAGTGACATATAATCCAACTTTACTCTTAGGAACATGTTTTTAACCCCAGTTAACCTCCACCAGCTTTCACAACTCTAATACTCAAAAGCATCTGTCACTCAGTCACCAGGATGACACAGACCTCCTGAGGAGTGTGTGTCTGCGTGCATGAAGGCAAGTAAATGACACAGATGTCTGCTGAGTGAATTGTGCTGACTCATTCAGACCAGGCCACAGGAAACAACTACAGTATCAAAAGCATTAGAGCGCATTGGAAACTAATGTTGTTTTAATTGTTCAAACATTCTGTGCAACAACGTGTTTGTGTGTCTGTATGAGCATGTCATACCTTGCCCTCCCACTGCTGCAGTACTGTGCTCACGTCTCCCTCCTTAGCGTAGGCCCGTGCTGTGTGTCCCAAACCATTGGTCTGCAGGGGGTTGGCACCTGTATGCAAACATGCAATACACACACACAAATCGTTCATACATTAGAAAAAAAAATGTAATAACCTCTAGACACTCATAAAGAACAAAACAGAACAACATTTCTTTTTATAAAAATGTACCTATCTTTTATATCCTAAGTACAAGAATATGCACACAACACCTCAGCAGGAGGGTCGACACGTCGATCGAGAGAGTGAGGTTAGGGGTGAGAGGTCACATGGGTTCAGGGGTCACGGACACTGCAGTGAAGCAGGAGGGCCACGCAATGACCCTGTAGGGGGTTTCATATCTGCAACGCGTGCCAATAACACACACTTTGACCCTTACACCCGCACACCAACACCCTGGATTATTATACAATCTATACACACTGCAGGGTGATGCAGGTTGGGGGCCATCGCACACACTTCCACACAGCAGGAGGGGTCAAATGGAGGAAAAACTTTGTTAAACAGCAGATCTAAGCATAAATGAGGAAGAAACATATCACAGCATGTGTGAAGTGTGCCAGGACTGGACAGCAGCGGGCTTGTCAGTGAGGGTGGTTAGCAGTGCCTTCTGCCCTGACCTGTGCCACCGCTCTCAACCCAGAGTCACCAACACACACGTGCTTACACATGAACAAGTGTAGGTTTCCATCACATCGTCTACAACGGAGACAAAATGCAATGAATAATGGGAAGGAATAGTTTTTTGTTTATTCGTAAGATCAGCTACACATATGAAAAGCAGCCTTTTGTAAACAATCAAGGCCATTCAGGCAAAGTCAAAAACATTTAACATTTGAGATTTTGCAGAAACATGTTTACAATCCTCAAACTATGGTATAGAAAAAAACATGTCAAAACTCACATATTGTGTCAGCACTAGTAACAAAAATGTCGAACGATACGCAGCCCTATTCCTGTATTTACCAATACAGGTAACAAACAGCACTCCTGTTATGCATGGATTTCTCTGGACTGACTCAGACCTCACTGGTAACATGAAAAGATTAGTTGACTGTAAGTGATAAAACTCATTGTAGATATATTCAAGAGTATATGAAGGTCTCTACTGTGACCCTTCAGCTGACGAGGGCAGAGGTTTGTACTCAATCTGAAAATGATGCACAGAAACTACATTAGTGACCACGATACTGTGTGTACAAGATGTTGAATGGTGCATTAAGAACCAGATGACCCATTTGAAGTTTTTCTGAGTGAGCTACACTCACGAAAACTGTAACAGTGTATGTAATCAATACAAGTGCTGGTTGTTCCTTTGCTCTGAGCGCTGACCGCAGAGACTAATAATCACTGTGATGATTATCGATAAACCCCTAAATTTTGTGACCTGCTCACAAAGCTATCGATCCCGACTACAATACACCACCAACCCCCCCACTCCACCCACCAACCAAAAACATGAGGGAGGAAAGCAATAAAGTACCTTACCACACAACGGCAGCGACGGCAACCACAGACGCACACACGAGCGACAGGCACACCACACCACACCACGACAGCAACACACACAGTCACAGGCACTGGACATAATAAATAGCATCATTTAGGGCTTTAATATCAGGCCAACCCTCTGGGCCATAGCACTTTATAACAGGATCAACACTAACGACACTCACACAAACAGACACACACCCCAGCTGAACATTCACACAAACACACACACA